TAAATATATGAATGATATACTCCATATTGCGTATATCGAAGTCTTCTTCAAAGTAGAGATTTTGGTTTAAGTAAACATGATGAGTTTCTTATTGTGATATATATCAAGTATTATCAACGATATACTTTATTTTAAATATATCACTAATATGATTTATATACCTGATATGAAGTACATTACTCACACCTTATATATTAATGAGATACTTTATTTTAGGTGTATATCACCGATATATTATTAATACACTTGATATTAGGGTTATCCATGTAAGAGTTCTTCTCATTCTTAGAGAATTGCCAATTTTAAGAGAGTAATCAAAATTTGCATTTGTTTTTTTGTTTGGGTCGACCCTTTGTTTTTTTTTTTTGGCTATATTTTTAAATCAGGAAAGTAATTGCTATATTTATAATTAATTATTAATTTTTTTTTGCAAGCAAATCTTTAAAAACGCCCCCCGGCTGGGAGGCATTACCTCATCCGGAGCCTTCCACTGTGGACCGAGACTACGCAAATTCATAAAGCTTATTTAAATTAACAAATAAATATTTCCTTCTTTTAAATAACTTTAAATAATTTATACTATTAATATTATGTTCATGTTTATATTTCATCAAACATTTTATAATATAATGAAAATGATGATTCACCTCTTATATTAATCTCAAATCTATGAACATATGAAATTATTGACATGTTGACGAAAATTGAATACCTTGGTTGACACCTTTTACCGTTAGAACAAAGTTCATGGGATATCATGCAAAATTCGTATTAGATACAATGTCTGAGAACTCGTCAAAATAGAATATGATATTAAGTGTATTATTTAATTGATAAATTTATATACAACTTCATGGTTTGATTAACATTTGATTTAAATTTCAATTTGGTTGTAAGAATTGATCTCTATTCAATTTCACCAACAAAAGGTGTTTAGTTTACTTATTTTAAATCGATTTTAAAACTAYTTCAGTCATTAAAGTTTCAATCTAAACCACCTCTCTCGAGTGAGATTCAAATTTAAATTCAATTAATTTGTGATCAAGATATTAAAGACACTAAGTAATCGTTCGGTCGGTCGATTCACTTAGCGCTAAAGAAAACCAACCAACTGATCGAAAAATATTATACATGGTGCATGTGCACGATGCACATATACGTGTGTGCATGTTTGAATGTGAGTGCGTGTGCATATATGCGTGTGCATGTGCGTGATAAAGACATTGCATACGACAACATTTGAAAATATTATATTCTTCTAGGTTTATTAAATTATATAAAATATATACTCTTTTTTCTTCACTAGATTTTTTTATTTTTTTCTTTCATTAGGTTTTTCCCCAAGGCCACTCATTTTACTTGTTCCCATAGGAGTGAGTGACCAAATTGAAAGTTGATGGTATAAAACTTCTATATTTTAAAGGTGCCTTGTCCAATTTTGTAATTTGGCCTTATTTTTGTTTGTTATATTGTATTACCATGTGGTCGGTTTGGTCAATTAGTAGTATGAATGTATCCTTGTCAATTATTTTCATGTCTTTTAAGTCCAAGTATGTTGATGATTTCCCTTCTGAATGGGTAAACTCTACTGAATGTTTGACGCGAGTTGAATCCATTTGTAAGGTAGCTGAACACACTTGATCAATTTATGTATTTCAAGCATGATAATGAGTAAATTTCATGAGTAGAATCCAATTTCAGCTACAATGGAGTTCGTGAAATTGGCATAGAAGTTGTGTCATTTTGTTGTTCGAGTGTAATGAACAGATTAATCCATGGCCTGAAGCCGCCATGTCCTCCGCCCATAGCCAACGGCAGCACCAAGTCATTCAACTCCATCATAAATCGCCTTTCTTCTCAAGGTGCTCACCATCAAGTTCTTCAAACCTATGCTTCTATGCAAAAGACCAGTACCCCACCAGACGCTTACACCTTCCCCAGCCTCCTCAAAGCATGTACCATTTTGAACTTGTTTTTAGATGGTCTCTCACTCCATCAATCTATCATCGTTAATGGGTTCTCTCTCGATTCCTATATTGGGTCTTCACTCATTAGTTTCTATGCCAAATTTGGGTGCATTGATATTGGTCGCAAAGTGTTTGATATAATGCCTGAAAGAAATGTTGTTCCTTGGACTACCATTATTGGGTGCTATTCCCGGGAGGGAGAAATTGACGTTGCTTTTTCAATGTTCAAACAGATGCGGGCCACTGGAATTCAGCCCACTTCTGTTACCTTATTGAGTCTGCTTCCTAGTATTTCAGAGCTTCCTCTTCTTCAGTGTTTGCACTGTTGGATTATTTTGTATGGTTTTGAGTCAAATTTATCTTTATCGAATTCCATGGTGAATGTGTATGGTAGATGTGGCAGCATTGAGGATGCAAGAAGCTTGTTTGAGTCGATGGATTATAGAGACATAGTTTCTTGGAATTCATTATTATCAGCCTATTCGAAAATCGGAGTTATTGAAGAAATATTGCAGCTTGTACTTGGAATGAGGACTGAAGATATCAAACCTGACAAGCAGACTTTTTGCTCTGCTCTGTCTGCTTCTGCTATAAAAGGTGATATTAGATTAGGTAAGTTGGTGCATGGTCTGATTATTAAAGATGGATTAGGTATAGATCAACAAGTGGAGACAGCTCTTATGGTGTTGTACTTGAGGTGTAAAAGTTTGGATCTCGCGCTTAAAGTTTTTAAATCGACTACTGAAAAAGACATGGTCCTATGGACAGCAATGATATCAGGACTTGTGCAGAATGATTGTGCCGACAAGGCATTAAGGGTCTTCTATCAAATGTTGGAATCAAACATGGAGCCGGGTACTGCTACCTTAGCTAGTGCTCTCGCAGCCTGTGCACAACTTGGTTGTTACGACATTGGTACCTTGATTCATGGTTATATATTAAGGCAAGGAATAATGCTAGACATTCCTGCTCAAAACGCCCTTGTCACCATGTATGCTAAGTGTAATAGGTTGGAGCAAAGCTGTGGAATTTTTAATAAGATGGTTGAAAGGGATTTAGTTTCTTGGAATGCTATTGTGGCTGGACATGCTAAAAATGGCTACTTAAGCAAGGCCATCCTTTTCTTCAATGAAATGAGAACAAGCCTTCAAAGGCCCGACTCAATAACTGTGACCTCACTTCTACAAGCTTGTGGTTCTGCTGGTGCACTTTGGCAGGGAAAATGGATTCACAACTTCGTTTTTAGAAGTTCCCTTATGCCATGCATTATGATCGAAACGGCTCTAATTGACATGTACTTCAAATGTGGAAACTTAGAGATTGCTCAGAAGTGTTTTGATTATATGCCACATCAAGATCTTGTAACATGGAGCACACTTATTTCTGGATATGGTTTTAATGGAAATGGGGAGATTGCTTTGAGAAAATATTCAGAGTTTCTTGGCACAGGGTTGGAACCAAATCATGTTATTTTCCTTTCAGTTCTCTCTGCTTGTAGTCATAGTGGGCTTGTTAACCAGGGCTTGAGAATATACGAGTCAATGACTAGAGATTTCCTAATGCCGCCAAATCTTGAGCACCGAGCTTGCATCGTTGACCTGCTGAGTCGAGCTGGAAAGGTTGAAGAGGCATATAGCTTCTATAAAATGATGTTTCAAGAACCCTCAATAGATGTTTTAGGCATACTCCTCGATGCTTGTCGTGTTAATGGCAGCGTCGAACTTGGTGAGGCTATTGCTAGAGATATCTTTGCATTAAAGCCCGTGGATCCTGGAAACTATGTGCAATTGGCACATAGTTATGCATCAATGGGTAGATGGGATGGAGTGGAAGAGGCTTGGACCCAAATGAGGTCTCTTGGTCTGAAAAAACTTCCTGGTTGGAGTTCTATCGAGGTTCATGGAACCAGTTTTTCATTTTATTCAGTTCACAATTCACATCCTAAGATTGAAGAAATAATGTTGACAGTGAAATCATTGAGCAACGATATTAGAAAAATGCATATTGAAAATGAGATTAACAAGGATTTTTGTTGAAACTTCTTGAGATGCAATTGCTCCTCCACCATCCTTAATTTTGTTTGGGCCCTTAAAGGGAAGAGACGAGATAGAAGTCTTGAGCTTACCTAGAAGATGCTGTCTTGAACCAATTGGTAGTGTGCTTGGCATGTTTTTCTACTGTTATTACCATCAATCAAGATGCTAGTGCACATCATGTTTCTCTACATGAGCAGAAAGGTAACTTATTTGTTCATTTTCCATCTCTCTCTATCTCTGGAAAGAAAGAAGAAATGAGAAGGCTTTGATTTGTAGCTTAGGTAAATTACCAAAATCTTGCTTCGAAGAGGAGTGATACTGTGAAAGGACTGAGTTTCACAAGGAAAAAAGTGTTCTCTGGTTGCAGACTATATTAGGTATGGTCTATTCCTCATGGTTTATCATTTTGCACATGCATGAATGTTGAATTTTCAATAAAATATGATATTCTCGTAGTAATGACTGTAATGCTGAAGAAACAGACATCTCAGTAATTCAATCAAGGCATTTTCAGTTGTAGGACTATGCCCCATTATCAATTCATTTGGCGCAACCCCCAAGGCTTGTCGCATAATGAGTTTTCTAGAGAGGGAGCTGATTCTAAGTTGGTGAAAGGGCTTAGAAAATAGAGGATGAGAAACAAAGGTCTTTTTTTCTAAACTATTTTTTTGCCCATTAATTTGCTAACATAAATGACATCTGTACTTTTTAATTTCATATTCAATCTATGACAGATGAGCTAAGCTACAAGCTGAGGGATTGGCTTTTGCCATTGGGAAAATATTGACGAGAGTTTGAATACTTCTTCGATGTTACTCTCATGGAGTCATGGAGATGGGAATTTTCTGTGTCCAAAGAAGAGTCTGGTGTATATATTATTTCCCATTGTTTCAAATTTTTATTGACTCTGTAATGTTGTATTTCATTTCATATTTACGTGTATTCACAAGCTTTCAAGATATGCATGATGATATCTAAATTCTGCATGAACAAGATATTTATTTATCGCTTGAAAAAAATATTTTTCTCCTGGAAGAAGTGTATTTTCTAAATTCTGCTTTTGAAAATGCATATTCTTGATTATGTAGAGATTATAATAGCAGGAGTTCCTGGTAATTGTTTTGTAGTTCACGTTTTGCTCGAGTTTCTAAGCTAGGAAATGTAATAAAGGTATGATGATAGTATTGAGGATTGGTTGGTTAAACTTCTGCAAGGTTGGTATTTCAAGGGCAAGACAAAGTTCCTGTAGATTTGCACAGCTAAAGCCCTCCTTTGGAACACTTAGATCGAAAGGAACTCTAGAGTTTTTGATGATAGAATTCTTCTTTTGATCTCTTTTGTGACGGTGTACAGCTCACTTCATCTTGGTGGTAATTCTGAAATTACAGCCTCTTTATATTATTCGAGATTGGAGAATTCTTCTAAAGTAGTCTTTTTGTTTGGGAGGAGGTTTTCTCGTCCCCTGCATTTAGGCTGTTTTGTTTTTTCTTTTTGTCTATAAAAGGTTTCTTATCAAAAAAAAAAAAAAAAGATAGTAGTTTGAGAAAACCATGGAAACACCTCCATGAATATTGAATAGTTATTCTCGTTTGCAGGGTTGCAGTTTCTTTATGATCGTTTATATTGGCAGTGGTAGATGATAGGCCTCCGATCAGAAAAGTACATTCTAGAAAGAGAGGGAGAGGGGGAGAGCAGCCGATGTAAGTGGGATATGAGCAAATTCTGTTAGAGCAGTGGGTCCAACTTAGATGGGCAATATAGTAATCGGTAGTATACGATATATGTTGGCTAGGAGTGGAGGTAGGGGCATCTTTTGTCTGATTTTGGGTAGGATTAGTGTAGAGAAGACTATAGTTTAACAGCTATCTGTACATGCTTTTCAAATAATACCCTTAAGTCTATTGACCACTTGTTATATCAAGGGTCAACCATAGTGGGAGAGTTGGGGTATGCAACTTCTCTGCATCATCTAAGCTAGTAACAATACATTGTTGGCAAATTACAAGTAGTAGGAAGTAAGTTTATGCTCTTGATAGAACCAAAGAACTGAAGTAGTATTGAAAGATAGCAATAGAGAATTATAAGAATCCCAAGTCATACGAGGTATTTTGACTCCCCCTCTTGAGATCACTCTATTTATACCCAACACATACTAACAAATTCTGACTAATTACTAATATATCCTCAGTATTAAGTATCCATTCCTACTTTACTAGTGGGATTCCTAATAGCTCTTTGAATAGATCTCGCGTATTATTTCTTATTTACACGTAATATCGAGTTACAAAGGAAGTCTCCTTTAATAACTTAAAGCAGCAGGGAGTTTGTGAATATTGTATATGACTATTTCATGCAAGTTAGAAGGTATCTTGTATTTGGATCATTATTCTTATTTTTGGACCATTTCTCAATTTGTGCGTGTCATCCTTGCACAGGACCCATGCTAATCTTCCTTGCATCATTCCAATTTTATCGGATCATTTTATCCGATGTCCTTGAAGGGACTATTATTATTATTATTATCATTAGTGACGAGGTCGAAATGGAGAGATATGCACTTTATGTAAAATTAAAATCCATTGAACTTTGCTGTCACTAACAGATGGATATTTAATTTACAATATGTGAATATGTTAGTTTCTGCTTTCTAAACAACTTGCAGAACATTACTTGAGAAGCAAAAAGGAATTGATCATTCTCATGACAAGAGGATTGGAGATAATGATTGATCCTACCAATTTTCTTGACATCATTTTGAAGTATTTCAACTTCTGTATAAAGGAGAAAAATGACAGTGGAACATAATATATTTTCCTCACATTTTGGTAAAAAGAATCTATGAAATTTTGTTCTCATAATCTTTCTAACAGACTTTAGTGTTTCTTTTCATTCTCATGATCTTTCTTGGCACTTTATTAAACTAAAGTATTATTGTTGAACAGCTAGAATGTGTAGCTCGTGATGTCGTTGGCTTCCGAAATATTCATAATAAGTCACAGGTAGACATCGGAGGGAGGATAGAAAGATTTGAGTCGAAATCTTCCGAACCAAAGCTGAAGAAGAAAAACAAAAGCAAAATGAAACCAGAAGTTGCAACCAACTTGTAGTGTCAATCATGTTAGATTCGTGATGGTACACTTCTAGCCCTATATATTTATTTAAACCAGAATTACATGTTAATGTTCCATGATTTTCCATTGAAATTTTAAATATGTAAATAACCAAAGATGCTTATATGATATAGATGTGTGCAAGAATCTGTGTGAATACTCTCATTCCCTCTGTAGTTTCCTTTGGAACAGCAAGAATGAGAAAAAGTAAGAGCTAGAAATTACTGAATAGATTAGATTCACCAATTTATTCAATGTGGACATAATTTCTTCCAATTTCACAAAAAAAAAAAAGGACTTTTTTTGTTCTCTTTTTTTTCCCCCTTCTCCCTGATCCATAAAGTAGCCTTAGCATGTGACTTGGACAGGTGCTTTATTTGAAATAGAATATGGAAATGGGGCTCTTTCCCAGTGCTAGAGTTTTGAGGCCCCAGAAAGATTCAGTGGGAAGCTGCTAAATAGGATGGGGTATAATAGTTTACATGCTTTGCAAAGCAACATATTGTAAATTATTAACATTGTGGGGATGAAGAATAATGTCACAATATTTCCAAAATATACATATGTATGTGTGCATATGTATATTATAACATTCCAAACTGACACTTGAGTTTAAAAAAACAATGCAAGAATCTTCAAGGAAGGGACCATTTTAAAAAGAAATTGCCCCCTGATGCTAAATTTAAGAAAGTAACAGTATTTGCTTGTTTGGGAAACATCTTTTAATGTCAACTTAAGTATGACAATTCATTCTTCCTCTTTGAGGAAAGTTAACAATGTAACTTTGTTAGCTCACCTCAGGTTTGGCCCATTTGAGGGATATTTGGAAGGATTAGAATAGAGGACAAGTTTTGGGGGTAAAACAGTAACCGCCCCTAATAATCTTTTTAATTTTGAAGCGAACATTTTAACTTCTCATCTCTCTCTTGTTATTAAGTCCACGTCCCAAACATGAGCTACACAAATCTGCACCCCAAGCATAGGTTATCCAAATCCAAGCTACACAACTCCCTCAAATCTACCCCGAGTCTAAACATTATTAGGCTTGAGATGCTAAACTTGCGTCCCTCCAAGATTGCATATTCAAATTTCATAATAAAGGAGAAAAAGTATCTTCATTTTCTTTTTTACTTTCATTTTCACGTTTTCTTTTTCATTTTAACTTGTTTGAGTTGGTGGTTGGGAGAGGTCATTTCAAAGGTCCAAAGAATTTTAGAAAACCATATTCCGTAGTCAACTATCACAGCCTGTGACTTATAATGGTTACAAAACATAATATTCCAACAATCCTTCTTGCGATTCTCCACCCCTACCATCTCCCTTTTAGTTTTCTTCTCTTTGTTTCTTGTTTTTTCGTTTTCGATTAACCATATCATGGACCTCTGTCTCTCGAGATACAATACTTTTTATCGTAACTAATGAACACGTGAATGTCTTACTCTTTTTAAGAACTTGAAACAAAAAATTTATTGAAATAACGTACACTAGAAAAAAGACAAAAGTTTTTAACTAAGATGGTTATTTTTTAAAGAATGTTTTTGTCTCAACAAATCTATTATAGTTGAATTTGAACTTTTCATCGAATTTCTTTTTTTAGTACAACAACTCGTGGGTTGAGATTCAAACACACGACTTTTCGATTGGAGATACATGTCTTAACTAGTTGAGTTAAATTCAAATTGACAAGTTTTCATCAAGAGTTTAAGGTTATCTAATTGTTTCATCGTGCCATATGAGAAGAAACACAATTGTGTGCTTCCTATGACACTCTTTAACTATAACTAGTATTGTCAATCTGAGCACAACTCAATAAATAAAACATTAAATTATATTTCGAGGTCGAAGGTTCATCCACTACCTCCACATTTGTTGTACTAAAAAATTGTAACCAGTACCAATAAAATTTAAAAATTAACTGGGTTACATAATTATTTATTTGTATTTGTCAAATCCTCGCTTTATGTTTTCTAGATAATATGAGAGAAACAAGTATCATACTTTTAGAATGTTATTTTCCAAACACATTTCAAACATAACTTTATAATTACCAATAGGATTATATCTAATAGACCTTGCTTCCAATGATTTGAATCCTAAGAATGTGTGGGACCCACAAAGGAAAAAAAAAAAAGGAGAAAGGAGGAAAAGAAATATTAAACCCTTATAATAGATTAAAAAGCATGGTCCTAAAAGGCTAAAACCCAACAAGAAAGTATATGTTATATGGTTTGATCCATTGTCACATCATTGCATTGAAATTGATCAATCCCTAATGGATTCCACTGTCCTTTTTGTGACAGATATGAAACCACAATTCAATTCATGTGTCAAATAAAGTCCTTCTCAACTCTCATTGGTATGTTTCCATGGCTGAGACCTCACAAGATGCTGTCTCACAAACACCAAAATTCTATTTTACCTTTTTCTCCCCCAACATTTGGTAGTCATCATTGGATTTGAACTCCTCCCTCTTAATTACCTTAGCCTCTTTGGACCAAATGAGCCACTCATGATGATTAATTTCCTAATTATATTTCCATCTTCTTTTCCTTTTAACATCCGACCAAAACAATCTCCACGTATTAACTTTTCATCGATACGTCGATATTTCTAATATATCCATAGATTCGACATTTACATCAGAGATTAATCGAAATTTCTATAGTATCGTAAAAAGATAGACAAAATATCAACAAAATATCATTAAAATGGACATAACATTAATAATAAAAATTTTAACTTATTTAAAAATGGTGAGATAATTGTTGTCAATTTAAATATTTTTCATTAATTTTTTTATTTTTTTGAAATATTTATTGATATTGACATTGTGTCAATAAGTTTATCGACATTTCTATAAAATTGATACCTCAACATTTTCATAGACACCGACATTTAAAACCTTGTCTCTTATTTAATTTTCTCTAT